ACCTCAGCAGCCACAGTAGAATGGGCTATGTCACTCCTCTTAGATCACCCGGAGGCATTACACAGGCTAAGAAAAGAGATTGACAACGGTGTTGGACATGGGCGCTTGCTAAATGACTCTGATCTTGCTAGACTACCCTTTCTACGTTGCGTTGTAAACGAGACACTAAGACTGTACCCTCCAGTGCCACTTCTTTTACCACACTGTTCATCCGAAGATTGCATTGTAGTGGGATATAAAATTCCTAAAGATACAATCTTGTTGGTGAATGCCTGGGCTATGCACAGGGATCCAAAGGTGTGGGATAAGCCTGAACGGTTCAAGCCAGAGAGATTTGAGGCAATCGAAGTGGAAAGAGAAGGCTTCAAATTTGTGCCTTTTGGAACGGGGAGGAGAGCCTGCCCTGGAGCCAGTATGGGTCTGCGAACAGTTTCGTTAGCATTAGGTGCATTAGTTCAGTGTTTTGAGTGGGAAAAAGTCGTAGAAAGTGACATGAATATGAACTATAATTCAAAAGTTACTATGCAGAAGGCTACTCCTCTGGAGGCCATGTGCATTCGCCGGCAACAGGCTGTTTGTCCTCTCACAACTTTGAACTACCATAAATAGCCCTTTCTCAAGCCATTTCCACCGATGTTGTGCAATCAAAGCACTGAGCATTATAGTAGTGCTTTAGTTTTTTTATGTTTGTGTTTCATTAACTTAGTAATAAGAACTTGTAAGACTTTCCCGTTTCATTCTTCTATGAATTAGTCACTGTTGTGAGAAGAGAGGAATAAATGAAAGTAAAGAAATGATGCTGTTATGTTGTATCAGTTTGGCTTGATCAAGCAAGTAGTTATTCTTTCCTATCGTGTTCTGTATTTTTGCGCAAGCGCGGGCTGGGTGTCTTTTTTGAGTTGTTCTTATTTCTACACAGCATTATATAATATCACACTAGTTGACAACGTTGTCATGAAACTGGTTTGGAAACATTTAAAGAAGCACGTGAAGATCCTACAAATCCTAATCCTATCCGAAGCATTGCTCATCTAGATTTGGATCTTTGCAAAAAACTGATGCAACAAAAAAAAAAAAAAATCTGTCATAAGGATCAACATTGAAATGCACCATAGATTAATAATGCGATTTCCTTGATTGGTATCAGAGCCTTAAACGCCTTAAAATGTTGTTTTTCTTGTTTAATATCCTACTAAAAATGAATAATTATGGTGAAAAATACATATATGTCTTTTTTTTGAAGCTTGAAGAATCTTTAGTAGCATGTGATGAAATATATAACATTAATTCAGTAAATTTATAAAGTATTTTCTTTTCGTGAAATAGATCACATATGCAATTTTTTAATCAATTTTCTTTATTTCATTTGGGAGAAAATTGAAACCCTTGTTAATTTTTTAGAAAAAATATAAAAATTATTGCTTCCTGTTTGTTGATTATCATGTAGTAAAATTGGTATGGTTAAAAAGGTATTTCGATGAGTTTTCTAACTATATAAAGGTATTTCAATGAGCTTTGCAGAAATTTCTCTCGGTGTGTCAGGTATTGTTTTTTTTTTTTTTCAATTCTAAAAATTGCATTTTGATAGTTGCATTTGTCTGGATTTTTCAGCATATATCTATTATATTTTCAGATGGTTAAAGTATTTTTTATGTATTTAAAGTATAAAATACATTTCATAAATGCGTAAAAAATATTTTCTAGATTACAATTAAAATTTTTATATTAAATTCAAAATATTTATTTAGGAATTCTATTACCTAGTGGAAGGTAATTTTTAGAATTCTCGAAAAATACTATGAGAACATTTTAGACCCGTCCATTT